CCGAGGAAGCTTCAATGAACTTGAAATTTCTTGAGATTTTTCAATTAAGTACTGGAAATTGATTTGGGTACAAGATTTGACAGTTGGTACTACTATGAGCTCAGATGTTACAATGTTGCTCACTTCTTCATTTTTATTGGCTGAATGAGTACGCTATAAGACTCTCGATCCACTCAAAAGAACAAGGCGTCTCAACAAATACTGCAAATTTTTGTGGAGTCAAGACTTACCAAACTAGGTTCTTACTTAAAAGTTTCAAGAAATTAGTTGCAAGACTATTTAATTTTTGCTTATGTAGTGTTTCGATATATCAATTAATACGGGTTTATAATTGGTTTAAAGTTCCTGTGTTTTACAACATCCCCAGTTATGGAGAACTATTACTACACTTATCAGTATAGAGATTAATATTGTCGGTCCCTATCACGATCCATCTTTATAGAGCACGTCCGGGGATAGATATTTTCCTCATATCATGTATGGTCTTCTAATATTTTTTATGCAGAAAATAAACACTAAAAGAATTAAAAATAAAATATTTTTGGGTTATTTTCTTTATAACGATGCAAAAAATAGCTTATGATGGATGATTCTAGAACGTTGTGGATGTGTCTAGTAAGTATATAGAACCTTCCTTAGAGAAGGTACATTACCTATAAATAGGTGTGGATCTCATTTTCACCCAACCATCCAACATACAAGCATTCAAGAAACACTCTAAGAAAGCATAATGTAGTAGTCTTTTAAAATGCAAGTTCTTCTTAATGGCTTTAATAAAAAGTATTGATGTTTTCCCAAAAAATAATTTAACAAAGAGTAGTTTTCAACTATTATTTGCTTTCTATTCATATCATCATCATCATCTCCATTTTCACCCTCACCATGTTGGTCCAAAATATATTTTAGGATGGGGCGAAAACAAAAAAATGGTTCCTTCATAAAAAAAATTAACAAAAAATGGCACTTTTAAAAGAACAAACTCATATTTGGATGAACATTCCAATTTAAGGATTAAGAGAATTGTTTAAAAATGTTTGATGCAAATGAGAAAAAAGACATTATATTTCAACAAAATTCGAAATGCATTTCGTATTCGTTGGTCTTTGGTAAAGCTAAAAGTTTGGTTGTTTATGTATATCTTCCAATGTACTCATTTTTATGATTATCTTTTTCAGTAAATTTAATGTAAAAGTTTAAACTCGGGTCTTCTATTTTTTTTAAATGATCTTTGTTTTTGTTGTTTTAAACTTTAGTATTCATTTTAAATGTAAAAATTTAATTTGTGGAAGTTCTATAAAAAACAATTTAAAAAAACAATATCTCAACCTATTAAACAAAATTAGTTTTGTATTTTAGTATTATTTAAAAAGTGACACAGTAATCGAAACTATAGACATAAATTTTTATGTCATTCAATATATGTTAAGAGGTATATAAATTTTATGAAATATAAAATAATTATTAGCACCTAAGTATTAGATATTAAACTGTTGATACACAGTTTCGAACACACACCATTCCAAAAATTAAGTTTGTGTCATTGTCATGCCTACAAGATCACACACCCTTCCAAAAATTAAGTTTGTGTCATTGTCATGCCTACAATATGATTTTTAATTAAAGGGTGTGTCTAATATATATACTGAATATATCAATCCAAATAAATTGATAAATATTAGAGCACTAAAACCGTCGTCGGGTCCGAGACCATCTTCTAGCTTGCCCCATCCTATGGGTCGGGCCCACCCTTACAATCAACTAATTTCAAGAACCCATCATTGTATTTTAGGTATGGAAGAGGACCAAAATCACAAGTTCTTCCATGTTTGAATCATTTCATGCTAAAACAAATTCTGAGTTCAATAATCTTGTTTTTATCAACCAATTCCAGCTAGAATTCGATTTCATCAACAAATTCAACAAGCCATCATTTTCAACAAGTTCAGGCTATAACTTTTCTTGGTTTGTTAGGTGAGATAAGTATATCTGGTTTTTCCATTGCTTTTTTTATATTCTCGATAAAGAGAAGATCGAAGAAAAAGGTTTCTTGGTTTCCAAATAACATGTGATTAGAAAGTATCAAATCAACAATAAAAGAGGTTGATCCAAGCTAAATTATCGATGTAAATATGAAGTTTATAATTTACAATATAAATCTTTAGGGTTACGGAAAGGTTGGCATTGTTGGTTATTTTGATACCCAAAACATAAAATGCGGAAGCATAACTTTGGATCTTTAATCTCGAATCTGCTTAAAAGAAAACTTAAATAAGAATGAAGGATTCATACCTGATTTCATTATGATCTTCGGATCTGAAGAACTAGGGTTGGGTTTTCCAGTTGATCTCAAGAGCTCTCTCTAAAATCCCTCAGCAAACCCTAAACGAATTCTCATGTGTATTTCGTGTGTGATGATTTGCTCAGCATCACATGTATTTATAGATGAATATAAACCCTAATGTGAAATATGGAAGGGATCTTGAGGATCTTGAGTCAAACCGGGAACTCAACCCACAAGGTAAGTAAATATTCTATAAATCGGTTCATCAACAATTTACATTCTTACCATAATAGCTAGATTTAATGATAACATTACATTATATATGATGTGGTCCCATAATTATCTAACAGTCTCCCACTGGACCTCAAATATATAAATGTACATATAACTGTATAATCGCTTTAGTGAATGTTATCATAATATTGGTACCCTTAAACAATCTCGTCCTCTAATCATAATAGTATACGATCAAAGCGGTATTTGTTACAATTTACGTATCTAAACCTATCAATGCTCACATATACATATATAACTAACGACATAGATTAATTATGATGTGTGGTTTTAAAATCTAAATAGAATTCCAACGAGCTCCTTTTTAACTTGAAGTGAGATCAATCTTCAAATAAGTGCAACTAATAATGGAGTTAGCCGAATTCTTAATTTTGTACAGAAAAACATAATTGTTGTTAAACAGCACATAAAGCACTATAAAACTCCCACTAAAACCAAATATCACACCAACTTGTGTAGTATGCTCATGAAAGACCTAGGGAGGTAATCCTTTTATGAGCGGATCCGCTTTCATGGAGTTTGTTCGTATGTGCTATATATATTTCCATTTTGCACTAATGTGTTAACAGAAGGAAACTTGATGGCAATATGTTTTGAATTAATAGAACTTCTGTTGTTGGAATATAACATTGCTGACTTATTATCACAACTTTAGTGGTCTTTCAATACCAATAATATGTAGCCTCGTGACAAATTTCCGCAACCATATTTCATGCTACAAATTATGTTTCCATTATGGAAGAAGCTAGCGAAGTCTAATCCATGAAATGGCTCATCATGCTAAAATGTAAAAGTATATCGATATGGATCGGTAACCATTTTGGCATCATATTCTTAATAAAAATGATCTCCAAAACATATGATTTCCTATAGTTGAGCATATAGCCTTTTGTTATGTATAGATATCTCAAAATCCATTTGGCTACTTTCTTATGATCCAACCTTGGGTTGTATAGATATCTACCCAAAACCAGAAAGATAAATTTACTCCCAGTTAATCTGTGATACACAAAATCATCTACTGTATTTATCTCAAAACCAAAAGAGATAATAAATTGATGAAAAATGTGGTACCACACATAGGATGTCCAAAGTTGAGGTTGTTAAGTTTGTGTATTCTGAATAGGAGATTTAATAACATTGTCGATAACTGATTCATAATATGCATACTATCAAAAATAATAATAGGAATCAAGATTGATTCCTCTTTAATGACAATGTTTTAACCTTTTTTCTCCCCCAAACTCAACATCCTCAAAGAATGTTGCTTTATCTAAAATGCAAGGTCAATATCCATGCAATTGAGAACTAACATAATGCCCTCATTCCATTCCATAAAGTTAATCACATTGAGTACATGAATCATAATGTAGCAAATATAATACCATAATTCAAAATTTGTTGTTTTGAGAACATAAGCAAATCTATTTTTATGCCCATTAATCCACAAATCGTAATCAATAAATTCAATTTATGACATCTTTACAAGGTATCAACACAACATTAATATCAAGTCTTTGGACAGTAATACTAACTTGCAAGAGATATCATTGAAAATAAATCATGTCAATTAACAAGTTCCTCATTGGATTGACTTATTAATCACATGGAACCAAAAATCGACAGATGTTTATCACCACATATATGTTTATTCGGCCAAATATCAATTTACCTTTGGGTCGGCTAATACCCGCATTAATAAACACATAAATATAAATCTTAATAATAATAATTGACAATATATCATATCAATTAATACGCCCCTCTTTAGATTGACTAATTAATGACATGTAACCTAAAAATTGTCGCATATTTATCATCAAACATGTGTTTATTCGGCTAAATATTAACCTACCTTTAGGTCGATTAATATCCACATCAATAAACACAAACCATAAAATTTAAGTTCTTTGTAAATTAATTTTCACAAAAGAGATCACTTTGGCAATATATTGTGTCAATTAATTTACCCTTAAAATAAATAATATGTCATAAATGAAATTTATCAATAACCCAAAATACGTTTATAAATTTCCATAAACGCTATCGCATGTTTTCATGAAACCAAAATTTGATAATACAATGAAAAACATTATCATACAAGTTGGCCATATTAAAATAACCAATTTAATAAAAACGGTTCCATACAACATTTGCAAGACTTAAATTAAATTGCAAACGAAAATAAAAAAATTTGAAGTTCATCTTATTTTAGACTCAAAATGAAATTCAATTTGATTGTCAACCCAAAAATATTTAATTCCCACAATTTGAAATGCAGTGGTTCAATTCACGAAAAATAAAAGGAAATCATAAAGTCTATTCGATCAATTCCTTATATAAACCAATAAAAGAAATCTATTAGTTTATTTAAAAAAAAAATACTATATAAAAATAAAATCACAGGAAGGTTGAATCAAAATATATGGGGTTAAAAAAATGACTTCCAAATTTGCTTTATTATACATAACCTTAGGTTTTCTGAAAAATAATTAAACCTTTATTTATTCAGACAATAAATCCTTCAATACAACCGATCATCCGAAATTAAACCAAATTATTAAATCTTGACTTGTTATAGTCAACTAGATGGAATCATGCGCGCCCGTTGGCGCTGATTCAAATTTTTTTTTTCGTTCTTTCAACGTGTATATGTACATAATCCATCTCGTGAAGCCTTAGCTGCTACATAAGCAAACCTGACATCTAGAAGCCAGCCAATTTCATTTTTTGTCGTTGCAAAAATAGTCCTTTGGTAGAAAAAAAAATCTGTTGGAATCTTAACTTCTATATAAGCAAACCACACATCTGGGAACAATCAAATTCCATTTTTTTGGCATTGCAAGAACACCTGTCTGGTAGAAAAGAAAAAAAGTCAAAATGTATGATTTTGAGTTTTCATTTAAATATTTAATGCTAAAATGTTGACTTTACCTATGTTATGATTTTGTAGTGGGTATGATCAGATACAGCAATCCAAAATTCCATTGTTATGCTATCCATGAAGCTTATATATGGCTTCTTATATCCAAGATTTTGCAAATAAGAAAGTACACCAACATCTGGCCCTACAAATGAATTAAACAAAAAGATTTTATTTTTTTTATAAATTATAGCCCATGAAATCTGTTAATAATTAAAAAAAAAACAAAAAAAATGTTTAAAACCTGGGCCTGACAAAGTCCAAACTCAAGAAGAAGTTTATTTTTTTCCAGCAACAAAACAATGGCTTGCAGCATCTGTAGTGAGTAAAGAAGCAAAATTTATAAGATTCACAAAAGGGTTTTCCAAAAGTTGAACCACCAGAAATAGCAACAATACAAATAAAATTTTCAAAGATTCGATATTTTTGTCTAAATGTTTCGAAAAATACCCTTCAACCCAGAAAATAAAACTTACAGCGACAGGGCCTTCAATAATCATCAAGGGTATACGGACCTGCATTACTAACGCAAATAAACGGTGCAGAAAGGAAAAGATGTATAACAAATAGCATTCAAAAGTGCATCAGTATATGGAAGCAAGCATGTATATATAAAAAAATAAATAAATAAATAATTAATTAAATAAATAAAAAAACTATTCAAAATCCCACGTTTTCATCATACTCTCAACAATCGATTGACATCAACTCCATTGAATTGAAAGAAAATCAGATAGACAAATCAATAAATTAATTACCTTAGGTTATAAGGAAATTCGTCAACGGTTACCTTGATTTCTTTGCCAGGTCGGTGATAATAAGCATCTAAGTCGAGACACCCCAGTCAACTGAAATATCAAGTGGGTTGCACTCCTAATCAACCAAAGAATCTCGTACTCAATCAATATACTGAAATCGAAACCTATATATAAGCAATATATAAGCAAGTAGAGCATCAATAAAATCAAAGTCAAAATTTTAACCTCATGGATGAAAGCTCGCCTCTCAGGCTGTCAGAACATAAAGCAGCACAAATCTACTTATCGGGATAACATGAAGGGATACTCACAACCACCAATTGAAAGCATGAAATCAAAAACCCACAACTACCAATAGAAACTATCGATTCAGAATGAAACACGTATCTTGAAGAGAACACAGGAAGAAGGCAGTTGATGCTTGAAGAGGAATAGAAGTGTAGGGGGCGTCGTAGTCAACAATTCGACGGTTCCTGAAGTAGAAGATGGATCTTACATGAAATCGCCGTTTCTATCGATGAAGTCACCTGGCTGAATGAAAGTGAACCAGATAATCTCTTTCTGACCATTTTACCCTTCAAATTCTCTCAGTGGAACCCTTAAAGAAAACTCAAGACACTCCAAAATGAGGAACATATATGGTCACATATTGCTTCTTGTCACCATTGTTTTCTTGGCACTTGACCTCGGTGAAAGCCTCCATCCTCATCATTGTAAGGGCACAACCGTCATTTACTTTCTTTGCGTTATTAAATGTTAAGAAAAGAAACTTTGTTATTTGCAATTCCATTTAACTTCAGTTTACATGGATGTTAATTTTTTTACTTAATAGGTAAAAACTCAAACACAAACCTGATTGTACTTGGCTGAGCGCTCTCTTACTGGTGGCAAGACCCACTGATAAATCAGCTAAAAAAAGAATCATCAGCTTCTCCACTTATTTGTGATATTACCACACCCCAATTGTCATCCGTTTCCATCTTCACTACTTTAATGGCTTCTGTCATACTTCCAACTTGGTTCACCTACAAAATATTCTCAATAATCATTTTCGTATACAGCAGTTTCCCATTTTTTCCTTTTTGAGTTGTGGTTTTATTTTTTAGATATTGTACTAATACTTAAACAGGGTACCTTGAGAAGAACAGCATTGCAAGCATGTTCTTCGATGGCTCTTTCTACATTTTTGGGATTTGACATCAACAACTCATCACCAAAAACCTGTGCATATAATTATAAATCATGTATAAAATAGTCATGTTACAATAACCTCAAATAAGGACCAAATTACCCCCGTATTCCGATCATAAACAAACCTGGATGTGTTGGAATTTTAGAATTCGTCCGTTCGAATTTATAAAAAGAGGAATCATAATCGAAATACACAACGAAAATAGGGCAAAAAGATAATTATTACACCCATACCCTTCCCTGTTCCTGAAGGTGTATTCCTGAATCTGAATAAAAGCAACACAAAAAATGAGCTAATTAAGAGGATAAAGGCGGTGGAAAGCCGAAAACAGCGGGAATGGAGAAAGTGGAAGGAGGTGTCGATAGAGATAAGGGGTGTGATACTCATCTACAAAGACCAAACGAAAAGGATTATTCAAGAAGGGTCATAGACACCAACAAATTCTTATTGGCTTACATAGTAGGTGAAGGGAGGTTGAAGCGATGAGCTTCCTTCATCGTTTATGATGTTCGCTGGCTATCCAGACAAATAAGAAGGGTGGAGACGGTGGTCTGGAGTTGGTTGAGGCAGAAGCCGGTGAGGCAAACAAAAGGAATCATAAATCTACGTGAAGCCATCAAAGGAAGAAAATGGTGGGTCGAAGATAAAATGATGAATAGAAGAACAGAAGCAAATTGAGATACGAAGAAAGATGGGAAGTGAAAGGCGGTGGAGTGAAGTCTGTGGCCAAAGTAGGAAGGGAAAGAAAAAAAGGGCACAAATGAGAAAACCAAAAGTTTCCTGTTCACCACCATTTTAGCAAACAATAGTATATATAATTACAACATCAAATAAATAACCCATCATCCGAAATTAAACCAAATTATTAAATCTTGACTTGTTATAGTCAATTACAAAATCAAATAAATAAATATGTGTTTGAGTGTACATATGAGATTTTTTTTCATCACTTCCACTTAAGCAATTACTTAGTTTATCAAAAAGATAAGGTTCCGTCGATAAAGAACCGTTTTGAAAGAACAAAACCCAAGAGCACTTCCTTTTCACATAGCCACAATCGAGCTGGTCAAAAAATAAAGGTAACCCCAAAACAGAAAATATGTAATCACGATCAAAAAAAATTCTAATAACAAATTCGAGTATGCTCTAACAAATTCGAATAAACTTTACGGATCTTAAACCTTTTGAAACATGAAGATTTTAGTGATCAAATTTAAAAAAAAATTCTAATAACAAATTCGAGTACGCTCTAATACTAATTGTTGATTATTTTGATAACCAAAACATAAAACGCGGAAGCATAACTTTGGATCATTAATCTCGAATCTAGTTAAAAGAAAACTTAAACAAGAATGAAGGATTCATATCCGATTTCATTATGATATTCGGATATGAAGAACTAGTGTTGGGTTTTCTAGTTGATCTCAAGAGCTCTCTCTAAAATACCTCAGCAAACCCTAAACGAATTTTCATGTGTATTTCGTGTGTGTTGATTTGCTAATCATCACATGCATTTTTTGATGGATATAAACCCTAATGTGAGAGATGGAAGGGATCTTGAGGATCTTGAGTCAAACCGGGAACTTAACCCATAAGGTAAGTAAATATTCTATAAATCGGTCCATCAACAATTTATATTCTTACCATAATAATTGAATTTAGTGATATATATATATATATATATATATATATATATATATATATATATATGGTTAGGTTATTGTGTTCTAACTATCTATTGTGTGCATTTAGGATTGATTGTGGACCAATCATTTTAGTTATTTTTAATAAAGTAATTAATACATATTACATGTTGAAGATATAATGAGTATTAATTAAATCTTCAACATTTAATATGCATTAATTACTTTCTTAAAATAACTAAAATGATTGGTCCAGAATCAATTCTACATGCACACAATAGATAGTAGAAACATTTGAACCTCTCTCTCTCTCTCTCTCTCTCTCTCTCTCTATATATATATATATATATATATATATATATATATATATATATATATATATATATATATAATGTGGTCCCATAATTATCTAACAGTCATAACCAAGTTTACAAAAGTGAATCAATCAATTACCCTCCTAAATAAAGATTTGTATTTGGTACATGAGTGGATGCTATTCAGATCACTTGACAAGCTTTTGTTTCGGCAAATTGATGCCATCATGAGCCTTACATTTGAGTGGCGTAAAGTTTGAGATGCCCAAATATCTGATTTTCGTTTGACAGGAACTTTTAACATCGACACAAAGTTCCCTGTTTGTATGACACGTTACTACTCACTGTTTGTATGACACGTTACTACTCACTGGAGTATATATTTTATGATATTTCATTAGTTAAAACTTATGTATACAATTTCGGTGCGGTGGTGTTGGAGGTAGTGACAGGTCGGTCGGTGGTCAATGAGCCCGTTAAAGAATTAGGTTTGGGAGTTTTGAGAAAAAAAAAGTTAGTAGCAACGGTTGACCCAAAAGTGATAGATAGGTTACTACTCACCGGGTATATATTCTCCAGTACTACATCACTTAATAATGTATACAATTTCGATGAGGTGGTGTTAGAGGTTGCGACTTGCAACAGGTCGGTTGGTGGTCAATGAGCCCATTATGGAATGGGTTTGATAGCTTTGGGAAAAAAATAATCTAGTAGCGATAGCTGACCCAAAAATGATGAGCATGTTTGTGACGAACGTGTTGAGAGCATGATTATAACAAGTGTAATCTACTTGCACCAAAGTTGGCAGAAACTACCCACCATAGAAGACATAAAAATGATGCTAAGGTCAACTACAATGGACCTCTAAAACACCACTTTAGAGACCATTTTTAGTCTAGTCAACCTTCAAAAATCATAATTTTTGTGTTGGCTCTTTTTTAACACCAAATATAAGACCAAACCGTTGAAAACCACCATTTAAGAGGTTTGTTGAAATGCAATAACTAGATTGTTGTTAAATAATCATCATTTTTATGTTTGTGTTTGGAGAAGCTCTAAGAGGGTAGTTGTTGTCGGTGTCGTCAGAGAAAATGACAATGATTATTGAGTAATTTATGCCATAATTTGTCTATTTGCTTAAATGCGTAATAGACTTATTTTTATTTTTTAAGTTTGACTTTGTAAAAAAAATACATGATTTGGTTTATAATTCATAGAATGGATTGTAATTAGTTACTTTTATCTCATTATACGTGTTGTCTTTTTTTTAGGGTAAATTACATCAATCGTCCATCGTGCATATGCCAAAAAGCGTGTTTAGTCCCTATTTCCAAAAATTTACTCGGACCGTCCCTCGTTTTCTTAAAGATTGCACGCTTCGTCCCCGATATGCATTTTTGTTGCGAATGTTGTCCCTGCCAGGTCTAAAATGATCATAATGCACTTTGTGTATTTCTTTTCCATTTAATTTAATGTTATTATTATTTTTTTTTAATTTTTTTTTGAAAAAAAAAGGCATGCCTACCCCACCCCACCCCATTTGTCCCTTCCCAAATCTCCATCTGCCTCACACGAATCCACTCCCCTTAAAGTAAAAATCTGGCCACCGGACCACCACCTTGCACCATCACCGTAAAATGGAGCAGCTCCACCAGAAAATGGAAAACCGTCGAAAATGATGAATATTTCATTCCAGACTCTCGACCTTCTCTTTCGTGATGACTAGCCTCCCGTCGTCTGTGTCATATTGTTTCATCACCATCAACGTTTGAATCGGTAATGTCATAGGAAGTTCCTTTTGTTTGTTTTTGGTCACTGATGATGTAGTACTCATCCCCCATCGTTTTCGATTCTCCAATCGGTGACCACCATCAGATGACAGTGCCAATTCAGTCCTCGTCTCCAAATCAACACAACTATCCACAACTAGGGTTTTGACAGATCCCATCAACGACGGCTAGGGTTTCAATAAATGCATTGAGCTCCACAACCGTCATCGACGGGGGCTAGGGTTTCGATCTTTGCCTCCATTGTAACCCTCGTTTCAGGTATCAATTACTTTTCAAGATTCTTAGGGTTTTAAACTGGAACTCGACGAGTTGGGGAGCTCCAACTCGTCGAGTGGAGATCTTATTCGACGCAGAACTTAGGGTCTACTCGACGAGTTGGAAGGCCCCAACTCGACGATTAGACGCTGTAAAGGGAAGACCTAATTTTCAGGGGCTTGTACCCTATTTAAAGAAATTATGGCTTATTTGTGGCCTCCCTCATCACCCTTACTATACAGAGAGAAACCCTAGTCGTGACTTACTGCTTTCTTGAGTGTGTGTGTGAGCTTTGGAGAGTGAATCGTGTGCTCTTTGGAAGGAAACTTGAAGGTTGAAGTGATTGGAGTGAGGAGGAGGCTGTAGATCCGAAATCTACTCAGTGTTAGCAACCATTTGGAGGTAAAAAGTCTTTACCTTGGCTTTCCATTTCTTAGATCTTCCCTTATGCAAGAGTATGGTCATTTCTAGTGCAAAATGGGGTCACTCTCGGGTTTGAGCTTGTCATGAGGACATAACTTCAGATCTGGACAGCTTAGGCCTCCTTGGGCCTAAAGATTCAAGCTTTATCAAGCTTTAGCCATCCTCCATGCCCTAAACCTTCCATTAAGCCTAGTTTTAGTGTTTTAGCCTCTTGAGGCCTTGCATGCACGTAAAGTTAGCAACTTTACATGATATTTCGGTCCTAAGGGACTGGATCTGTTGTTTGGGGCTTTAGATTCGACTGAAAGAGCTGAATATGTTAGGACAAGGGGGGAAAACTCGACAAGTTGGATCAAGTTACCCCACCTCTTTAGATACTGAGTGAACTCGACGAGTTGACGAGAGAACTCGGCGAGTTGGCGTGGGTACATCCTGGTTTTCTGAACACTGAAGGAACTCGACGAGATGCTGGATACACTTGACGAGATGGGTCAACATGGACTGTTGACCTTGACTTTGACCATGGTTGACCAAGCTTGACTTTGAGGGTATTTATGGTATTACGAGATTTTGACGACGTTAGTCACATGATGATTGTAGGCGGTTGATTTGGAGTTGCACGTTGGGATTGACTTTATCGGTTCATCATTTCTAGACAGGTGAGTCTCCTCACCATACCAATGGGTGTAAGGCACCAAGGGCGACCCATTATATGATATGTGGATTGTTGGTTGATTATGTGATATGTCGGTAGGACATTTGTATGGAAGACTCCGGGAGTTCCCGTGGCAGTAGTTAAGACCATGAGGGGGTTCTTATGGCATTTGTATAAGTCCTTGTAAGGTTTCCATGGAATTCTAGTATGATTGCATGTGTAGCTTGTATGATATTTCCTTGGTTAGAGAAGACCATGTCGGGGTTCCCATGACTGGTAGTCAAGACCACGTGCGGGTTCCAGTGGCAGTTAGTAAAGACCATATGGGGGTTCCCATGGTAGTTAGTGGAGACCATGTGGGGGTTCCAATGACAGGTAGATAAGACCATGTGGGGGTTCCAGTGGCATTCGGTATAAGACATTGGAGGGTTCCCATGGCATCCTGATATGTTTTGTATGCATGGCTTATGTGATATATGTAGCTGTTATAGCTTATATGACTTTTGTGATTGTGTGGATTTTGTGGGGTATGCTCTGGGGAACTCACTAAGCATTAGCTTACAGTTTGTTGATTGTTTCAGGTACTTCAGAGCCTAAGTGCAAGGGTCCGGCATGATGGCACGACATGCACTCTCTCAAGTATTTTATTTGGGGACGATCTGATATTTTGAATAAAATGTTTGATGTTATGGATTTTGGAAACAATTGTTATTG